CCTCCAGAGCCGACTCATAGGGCCCCTCGCTGTCGGAGTATGGTGGCAGCTCCAACGGCTCCTGCTGGGCCACAACAGTTCCTATTTTTTCTATTTGCATTTTTTATGTGCTTTCTAACTGCTAGGTTGGCAGAAGCTGGGACAAGTAACGAGAGCTCACTCCATTACGCAGCACTAGGGATTCGAACCACCAAACTGCCGACCTTTCTGATTGCCAAGTTCAGCGTCTTAGCCACTGAGCCACCATGTCCCCTACGTACAGCTAGAACAATATATATTGTTGGAAAGAAACGATCCATTAAGTTAGTTAATCTTTACTCACCACGTTGGAAACGTTGGGGGATGCTCCACGTTGGAGCAAGATCTTGACAATAGAAAGGTTTCCCATGAAGGAGGCCACATGAAGAGGGGTGAGGCCCGACTGTCAAGAGAAAAAATGGGGAGAAATAAATGAATTCGAATTCTGCATTTGTCTCTGTATGCTTTTCTACACTGCGGTTACAAACTGTCATTTACTTGAGGCCTGCTCTATAGGAATCAGTAGATTCCTGAACCCATGATGCTCTGTTACCTCCGTCACTGCATCGATGGAGGCCCCCGTCTTCAGAAGAAGTTCCATCGCCCTGATGTGGTTCTTCTTGCAGGCTATGTGTAGCGGAGTGAAGCCGTTCTGCAGGGAAAGGAGACCACTTTGTGATACAGTTGTCATAGAAAATTTCAATAGGAAACGAAGGCAACAACGCAAGCAAAATTCTTACTTTAAGATCAGAGGTTTACTGTTTCTAAAAATTCGGAACATTAGAAATGAATAGGTATAAAAGATATAACAGCAGGAATAGAGTTAATAAGCCATTGCAACGGGCCAATGAGAAATAGCAACTCCTACATGGACTGCTATAAATCAAAGGGCCCCGAGCTGATCTTGAATCCTATTTTTATAGTGTTCCTCTAGCCCAGGGGTGTCCAAACTTGGGAACTTTAAGACTTGTGGACTTCAACTCCCAGAATTCCCCAGCCAGCTTCACAACTTCACTAACTGTCACTTTCCATGAACACCTGTGTACATTACTTTCCATTCCTCATTTCCAACCATTTCATTCTTCCTGTTTTAAACAAATCCATAGGAGTGCATCAGTGGTGGGTTGCAGGAGCCACGCCCCAGTACAGGTGTACCGAAGCCTGCCCGGAACACCGGACAGCATTCCGGTACAGTGCTCTGGAGGGCCCACCTGCCTGTCCACGGTCTTTTAAGTTTTCGGCGCTTCCACAGACGGCGCATACAGCGCCTGCAAGATGCTCCGCTGAGTAGCTGGAGCATCCTGGATGCGCTAAGACGCATGTATGTGCTGTGCGTGTGTGCACTGCATGCATCCATGTGGACACCACCGGGTCCGTTCCAACCGTACCGGTTGGAACAGAATCCAAAACCCACCACTGAGGTGCATATTTTGCAAAAAAAAAAAAATATTTCACAGTTAGCAACAATACAGCAGGATTACAAATATTTCTGGTTAATTTTGAAACCATCCTAGCTGAAAACTTTGGTTCATATCTCTTTCTTCTGTGGCCTTCTATTATCCATAGGACTTATTGAATCTAATAGATCCATAGGCTATATTTCTTGATTCTCACACAGTGCAGGTATCAACCCGGCTTCACCTCATTTTCCTAGCCTCTACTCACCAGGGCCCGTGCGTTAGGCTTGGCTCCTTTATCAAGCAGGATTTTGGCCACTCGGTGGTGGCCGCAGTGGGCAGCCACATGCAGTGGGGTCAAGTGATCCAATGTGATGTCATCGATGTCGGCGTTATACTGCAGCAGAAGCCGCACACAGTCCAAGTGGTCACCTTGGGAGGCCATGTGGATGGGGGAGAGGCCATTCTAGAACAAGGAAAGGAGGATGAGCAGAGTATGCCCTTGCAAGGGGTACTTAGGGAATAGGTAAGTGTGCAAACCAGCGTCTGCATTTCCTGCGTCGGATGAGGAGAGTGCATCTTTCTCCTCCTGTCTTGGCCACTTTTTAAGATAAAGGTAAAGGTTCCCCTCGCACATACCGAATGTGCTGGTCATTCTCGACTCTAGGGGTCGGTGCTCATCTCTGTTTCAAAGCCAAAGAGCCAGCGCTGTCCAAAGACATCTCCATGATCATGTGGTCGGCATGACTAAATGCCAAAGGTGCACGGAACGCTATTACCTTCCCACCCAAGATGGCTCCTATTTTTTCTACTTGCATTTTTACATACTTTACATGCTTTCAAACTGCTAGGTTGGCAGAAGCTGGGACAAGTAACGGGAGCTCACTCCGTTACGCAGAGCTAGAGATTCGAACCACCGAACTGCCAACCTTTCTGATCAACAAGCTCAGCATCTTAGCCACTGGATCACCACGTCCTTAGTAAGCCACTTTTTACAGAAACACAATTGAGAGCGTTTTAAGAAACCACATCCCTATTTGGTTTGGTGACAGCAGCGCTTCCGATAGAAAGTCCCTACAGAGAGTGGTGAGGACAGCCGAGAAGATTATAGGAAGCTCGCTTCCTGTGATTTAGGATGCTGCTTATAAGCACTGTGTGCTTAGAGCTCGAAGCATTGTCGGAGACCCCACACATCCACGTCACGGTCTGTTTTTGTTGCTCCCCTCTGGGAGGAGGTTTTGAAGTATTTCTAACAGGAGTTCCAGATTCTGCAACCGCTTTGTTCCCTAGGCCATCCGTCTGGTAATTTCGCAAGATTCGTTTCTCCCGTTGTGTACATGTATACAGTATTTTTCCAGGCTTCTCACCTTGGTCTTTGCTTGGATGGGTGCTCCGTGGTCCAGCAGGATTTCAGCAATTCGCAGATGCCCATTGCGGGCGGCACAGTGTAATGGGGTCAGTTCATCCTATAGAAACAGTAGCACTTTAAAAGGCGTGGCATGAATAAACATATATTTTATAGGTTTTATACCCTGCAATGCTGTTGTTAGCACACCAACTGAGTGCTGATGGAAGCACCTAGTCAAACTTGTAAGGTAAAGGTTCCTCTCATACATATGTGCTAGTCATTCCGACTCTAGGAGGTGGTGCTCATCTCCGTTTCAAAGCCAAAGAGCCAGCTCTGTCCGAAGACATCTCTGTGGTCATGTGGCTGGCATGATTAAACATTGAAGGCGCACAGAACACTGTCACCTTCCCACCAAAGGTGGTTTCTATTTTTCTACTTGCATTTTTACATGCTTTCGAACTGCTAGCTTGGCAGAAGCCGGGACAAGTAATGGGAGCTCATTCCATTACACGGCCCTAGGGATTCGAACCGCTGACCTGCCGACCTTTCTGATCGACAAGCTCAGTGTCTTAGTCCCTGAGCCACCACATCAAGTCAATCTTGAGTGAACCCCAAAACAATTTAGCTGGGTCCGTTTTTCTTGGAAGGAAGACCCAGGGAAAACCCCGGAGTGTCTGAAAAGGAAAGAAAACATTCTAGAAAAAAGCCATTTTCCCATGATGACTGATTAGATTTAACATTTAGCATGGTAGGATCCACCCTAGCTGGGTGCTGAAGGAAAGGAAAAAAGCAGCAACTATTTTTTCTTCTTCTTTTTTGTTGTTGTTAAGGTTGAATGTCTGTTTTTGTTTTGTTTCATTCTGTTCATTTGTTGTACTGTTTCTCGCAAGTATTTCTAGAAAGGACTAGCAGATTTTGCAATAGCTTTGTTCCCTAGGCCAGGGGTCGGCAACCTTGAACACTCAAAAGAGCCACAAAGGTCCTAACTGGAAGCTCCCACTTCCCCCACCATAAAGTCTCCTCCTTATGTGGCGTCCTTTTTCCTCTGCTGACCAGAAGTCCAGTTCCCCCACCATAGAGTCTCCTCCTAGTGCAGAGTCCTTTATTCCTCTACCTGTCCTAACAGAAAGCCCCATCGATCATGGAGCCAACCAGTGACAGGGAGCTGCAGCAGAGGGATGAAAGAGGCACATGCGGCTCCGGAGCCACAGGTTGCTGACTGTTGCCCTAGGCCATCCGTCTGGTAAACTCTCAAGGTTCGTTTTTCTCGCCATACAGACGTATACATTCGAAATAGAGTATATTGTTTCTCCAGGTCATAGAATATATGTGGGCATATGCATATTTATTTATTTATTCCTTCATTTATTCTGTCATGGTTACCGTATTTTTCAGAGTATAAGATGCATTTCCCCCCCCCTTAAAAGAGGGTGAAAATTTGGGTACTCCTTATTCATCAAATGTAGCCCCACTCACCCACCGGCCCCCATCCTTTGGCCTCTGCCTCTAGGAAATTTACCTCCTTGCAGGAAACAGAAAATGGGGCTTGCGGAGGCGGCAATAGGCTATAGCAATCCCTGCAGCCTGAAAAAGCTGATGATCGGGAGGCCCATGCTGAAATTGCAAGTGAA